AACGTTTGATCAAGCTGTGACTCCACTCTCCACGTTTTTGATTCATGGTTCTTCATGATACCTCCCACAAACCCTCTCCCCACCGCCGCCTTGCGCCGCTTTGCAGCCGACTTTGAATGTCAGATCGTTTTCGAGCGCAGCTGCCAACATTGTTCAACAATACGGTTTTCTGCGGACTCATGCACCTTTCCGTTCCCTCACCTTCCTTCCCAACGTGGGAACTGAGTGTAACTGAATACCAATGTCAGAGTGTGTCTCTGCGTGTGTTGTCTCTGTGTGTGTTGCCTCGGTGTGTGTGGCGGAGGCGGGAAGCGGGCGGCGGGAAGCGGGATGAGACATAGAAAAGAAGAGCCCCACACTAAGATGCACGGAAAAACCACAAAAAAAGAAACACAAACGCGACCACGAATCATACCACAAAAGTCAAAACATCAATGCACATGGCCTACACAAGTCAAACCACAAAAAAGCACCAAAAAAAACAAGTCGTACCACAAAAAGAACACACCAAAAAAAATCATACCACAAAAAAGCACAAGAAAACCCACAAGTCATACCACAAAAAACACCCAAAAAACACAAGTCATACCACGAAAAAGAACAAAGAAAACAAAGTTGCGGTCTGTTTTGTGCTTTTTTGTGATTTTTTTGGTGTTGTGTTCCTTTTCATCTTCATTTTAAAGAGCGGGCCCAGTTTTCTTTTGTTTTATAAGGCAGGCCCCCCTCCCCTCGGGGTTCGGCCTCGATCGCGCGGCGGACATGCCTGAGGGCCTGTTCGGGGAGGCGGCCCGCCTGGGTCAGCTGGACCGTGGAGTGTGTAAGTTGTTCAAATTATTGCTCAAGTGTCTGATGGTCGTATGGTTCTGACAAGAGCCTGCGGCGTGCAACTTTGTGACCTGCGGATGGCAGAGCGGTCGCCAGAATTCTCCGCTGGTGCGGCTGAACGCTTGCTGCGGAGCTGGAATGCTGGCGTGGCCAAAAAGCCGCGCGCGCGCGCTATAGGTATAATCATCCATATAGAGACAATTGTCTATATGCATATATAGTTTGTATACATATTTTTTGGTTATATTATACCAGCCTGAATTCGTGGTTCAACGGGAACGCGCTTGTTTTGGACATGAAACGGGCTGATCGCGCGCGAAAAGTGCTTGTTTATGTTGAAAAAGAGAAAAAAGGAGAAAACATTGAAAAAAACATGCCGGTAGAAGTTATAGAAGATATGATACTTAGGCTTAAGTTAAGTTAACATAGTTAGGCGGCATAAAGTTATAAGTTATAACTTATGTTATAACTTATGGTCCTCCTCGTAGCCTGTTGCCGAGAGTGAGAATGGTGTCCACGGGCAACATCATGAAAGCCGTCTCGTCGGTGGCCGGGAGAGTTGCGGAATAGAGTGTGGTGGTCGTGTGGCAGGAGGAGCAGGTGGAGGAATAGAGATCTGTGGTGGGAGTGGTGCGAAAGTGTCCCTGCTGGGCGTAGATTTGGTGGTGCAAATAGTCGCGGTGGTGCTGAAAGGCGGTGGTCGACTCGGAGGGGCGGATGCCGGTGTCGTAGTCAATGGTGATGCCAATGGGGTTGGAGGACCCCGGTCAGCTTCAGCGCAGTCACCCTCGCAATCAACATCTTCACGGCAGGAGGGCGATCCCGAGAACGAGAGGAAGGCCGCTCATGGTCTCGATAGCGATGTTCACTGAACTCCGAGGAGGGCCGAGGATTGACACACAAAAGAAGCCAAGAAAAGCATGCGTTGGAAATCATGTGTTAGGAAGTATGTCTTGGAAATCAAATCGTGTATTGAAAATCAAAACGTGTGTTGGAAATCGTGTATTGGAAATCAATTTTGAGAAAAGAGGTTGTAAACGAGTCAAGAAATGAAGTAGACCTGGGAAAGCAGCTGGAGCCAATCAGGCTGAGCAAGAGAGTGAAAAAGCTGCAGTTGCGCAAGCAGGAAGCAAGGTAGGAAAAGGACAGGATCTTGTCTGTTTTTCCAAGAGGTAAAAGCTGAGAATCGAGTGGGGTGTGAATGGGGGAAGAGTTCCCAAGAAACATCGTCCAGGATGAGGAGGAAAGGAGAAGAAAAAGCTAGGGAAGTTCACGTCGAAGGACGGTATCTCGTAGGTTGAAGCCATAGTGAGAAGGGGCCATAGAAGGTGGCGAAGATAAAGTCCAGGCGGTGAAGGTAGAAAAGGAAAAAGAGAGCATAGGTGCCACTGAGCTCACGTCGAAGGATCGCATCTCGTAGGTCCCAAGCCACAGCGAGAGAAGGAGGAAGAAGGGAGGATGCAACCCTCCAAGGGCCCCCGACAGACTCCAGTGAGTCTTAAGCGTGCTTTGACCGCTATGGTCACGTGCGCCGTGCCAAAATGGCTTGCTGCTCTGACCGCTCTGGTCGCCTCATGGCGTGTTCGAGGACTGCCTACTTGGAACGCAACAATCCGTCACTTTGCGCGCTCTGGGCACGTGCGTTTCCACGGCATTGGAAACATGGACAAACCCCCGTTCAACGGGTCCACAGGGGCCACTCGTCGGGGTCACCCGGGGCTCTCACGAGGATAGACACACTTGAGATATTGCGTACGAAATGAATGCCACATGCCACACGCCCACCTAGGTATGGACGCCCAAGAGTCAGGAAGTTGAAACCTCCAAGAAACCTTCAAAGCCCACGAGATCGAACAACGGAAACGCGACACGCTGACGGCGGTCCGTGCAAGTCTGCAGAGTTAAAAATTGAAGGATGGCCACCAGCTGCGTCTTACCTCTCGCCCTCACTCACAGTCACAGTCACAACCACACCCGCTCACTCACCACCACGGCCACCATCACCACAATCCCTACCTTCATCACCACCATCACCTCTCTGAACCCCAATGCCTCTAGATCTCTAGACTTTCTGCTGCTACACCTCTAGACCTCACACACACTGTTTGGGTCTCTTGGCGGGATGATCTTTTTAGAAGTAACTGCTTGTGCCAATCTCTATTTGAAGGGTCTGGAAATTTGCCGCCAGGAAGGTTTCAATTAGAAGAGGGCACGGTGGAAAAGCCTGCGCGCGGCGTAGGCAAAAATCAAGAGAGGCCAGACCCTGAGCCACTTCTAAGAAGAGGCAAAGAATAGCAAGAGAATCAAAAGAAGGGAAGCAGGAAAGGGAAGAGAAGGGCAGGCAGGGGAAGCAATCAAGAATGGAAAGGGATGACAAAAAAAGGAACGGCGAGAGAAAACAAGGGAATCAAAGAGGAACTTCTCCGTTTCGACAGTCGAATGTTTTCATTTTGTTTGCTGCATGGTGTTAAGGGTTGCTGGGCCTCTCTAACTTATATCCGGTGGCTGCCGCCCCTCTTGGACTTGTGTGGCTGAGGGGGCCGTCCTTCACGCCTTTGCTTGCTGGTGTTTGGGTGTTCTTGCTGCGTTGGCTGGTGTTGTTTGCTTGTTTGTGTTGGACCGCCTTTTTTTGGTCAACGATGGTATTATATTTCTGTTGAAGTTCTTTCTTGGTTTCTGTTTGCCCCTTTGCTGCCGAATCGGCCCCTCAAGATACCAACTTAGGCGTACCTGCAGAGGTCGCGTAGTCATGCATGCTGCTATATCGCCGCAGATCGCAACAGATCTGCACTCAAAGTTCAACGATACTTCCCTTGTGTGGTTTGAATGGTGAAACATGCCCACTCCTGCTAGATGAGGAGCGAGTGAAATCTATGCACACGTTTTTCGACTCATGTTGTGACTAGCACACTTAGCAGAGCAGCTGTGTGTTCGTTTGCGGTTTATATATACTTGTGTATACTGCCCTCTCCAAGACTTGCGACCCCTGCACATTGTTCTGAGGTTGCGAAGCCACCTGCTCAGAACAAGGTTAAATTGCGAAGCATGTGTTTCACAAGGTCAGGTGGGCGCAGAGTCAGGGCAAGAAATGAAAGAGGGTGCAGAGTCGGCGCAAAGCTGGTAAGGTCTGGCGCTCAAGGCGCACCGTGGTGCTGATAATAGGATTTCCATAATGAGATTTAACTTTTGGCAGGCTGGGAGGATGTAGCGATTGAAGAATATGCTTGACGCCAAGAGGTGCCGTTTGATTCGGCATTGTTGCGCTTCCAACATCCTAGTGGGATTTTGCCTTTGCACCGGGCTGCTCTCGTTTTCCCGTCCTCCTGCCGCCTTCCACCAGACCCTCCAACGTATTCACGCCAATCACTTCCTCACCCCAACTCACTCATACCAACTTGTTCACATCAACTTACTCTCACGGCAACTTACATGCGCCAAAATACTCACACCAACTGCCAAGCCACTCATACCAACTCGCTCGTATAACTTTTCGCGACATATCAGGCTTTGCTTTGACGATCTCGCCCACCGTCCACCCTCAGCGGCGACAGCAAAAGCACTGTCGATTGTCACTGTCAGTGGCCATTCTGGAATTTGAGCTGGCGTGGAAGCTTCATTGAAAGACAGACCGCCTTGGCAGCCAAGGTATGAGAAATCGCTAGCAGGAGCATGTAGCGACGAAAAGGCAAAACTGAAGCAACCACTATATACTCATTTTCAGGACAACCTTTGCCAATGAAAGAAACGTCCCAGTTCAGTTGAGCAGCCGGACAGTGTTCAAGATACCTCAGACATTTGTTTGATAATGGACCACTCACCATGATTGAATTCAATGCTGCTTTGGCTTCCGCCAAAACGAATAAACGACCAAAACCTCGCCACGTTATAATGGAGCTTTTCTCTTGAATGAACCCTGACACTGACAACCGAAAGTGGTTCCTGAATCTGTTCAATTCGTAGCGGAGCAATATATGGAGCAATCAAGCCACCCCCGACGTTATCAAGAAAGGTGAGACGAACGTTCTGATTACAAACAGATTTCCTTGTTCAACTCATTTTGCAAGCTCTATACTGCCCTAAATCATTTTGACTGAAATGGAGAACACCATGCCTCAAAAGCAGTAGGGCACTTTCCACGCACTGTTTCAACAAGGCGCTCGCAAGACACAGCTGAGCAGAGCAACAGGGTTCCAATCATATACTGTAATTATATACTTTCTTACATGGCACAAATCTTGTGATAGAGTACAGCATGACAACTGTACATAGTGTAACGCACGCTTGGAGACAACAAACATTATTGAGGTCGTGAAGAACTGTTTCTCCCGTTAAGAAGAACGCGTGGCAAAAAAATACATGTATGGTGCTATGTGTGCAAATTTCCTCATCTACATCCGAGGGTTCCATGTTGGTTTGCCACGCGGCGCGCGCAATCAAAGCGTAATAGAAAAGCATGTTCTTTCTCTCCGAGCCACTTGAAATAAACATGGAATCGCAGGACAAGAATGCGTTTCCAAAGGGTTTGCTTTTTGCAAGCCACGTGGTTCGAGAGAGCCAAGATGTCCCCTGTAGCACTGTAGTGGTTGTGTCCCTCATCATCCTGCGTTGGCTATGTGTTGGATGCGTGTCTGCTGCAGTTTAAAACGCTGTGGCGCAACAGTTACAAGAGACTACCATGGTGAAGCACAAAGTCAGTAAGATTGCGTGGCATTCGTTGAGCCAGAGATCTTAGAGCATTCGCCAAGCAACCCCCAAGCAACTCAAAGCTTGCCCGCTGTTTCCTCTCCTGCCCTCAATGGGTTACATCGTTTCTCGCAATATATACTTCTTTTTCCTATCACATCCTCCTCGGCTATGCCTGTCTTCCCCATGAACTCCCACCCCATATGCGGTGCCCTTTGCGCCCGGCTACCAGGCCTCTTCACTATTAAAAAAGGGCGTGCCCAAGCAACTCAAAGCTTGCCCACTCCGTTCTGTTCTCTCTCACGCCCTCAACGGATCACATCATTTCTTGCAGTCCCTTCCACTCATATGAGCCACAAGAAAGTAGTGTGTTGGGAGACTCGCACCTCCCTTTCCTGAAGGAGTTTGAACAACCATTCCCGCCCCTGCTGGAAGACTAGAACTCCCACCCTTGGTAGAAGACTGTTTAAATTGCCTTCTGAGCCCCTCATGATGCTAATGATGCACTGATGCACTCTTCGGCGCCAATTACATCACCTGCATCACAACACCCCAAAAACCCTGCATTTTCATTCCCTTCGGACGCACTCCCTTTTCCCTCTCCCACCAGGCTCTGGGCTCACCCTACCAGATTGGAAGGGGACAACGAGACGGGAAAAGAGGTCGGTAATACAGCAGGAAAGTGAGATGTGCGTTTCTCAACCATCACTTTAATGAGAGTGGAAGGGAGCGTCAGCCAGGATGTTATCCGTTGAGGATAGGAGAGGGAACAGAATGGAGTCCATGACAAGCAAGGAAGGCGATGTGGCTTGGGGGTGCCCCTTGTGATGGTGAGGATTGTTTTACATTTAGGAAGTTAGTCCGAAAGGGGGGCATGCCGTGATGAGAGTAGAGGTCGGGGGCTAAAGTGAGAAGCGACGTTGGGCAACCCGTGATCTTCCCAGTAGACTTCCATCCGTCCGTGCTTGGCGGAGCGCCGATGTTATGACTCCATCTACAAGACAAGAATGACAAACAGCAGCCAAGCCAGTTCCTTGGGGGTGCTTTTTTCCCGAATGCGTAGCGAAGGGTTCCCGTTTATAGTTGGGGGTCTGGGGGTTGGAGCTGTGTTCGCGTGGCTTGCGTCGTGTCGTCGTCTCTCGTCGTCTGTCGTCGTCTCTCGTCGTTTGTCGTCGTCTCTCGTCGTCTCTCGTCGTCGTCGCGTCTCAAATTTGCTGCCATTGGGGGAAGCTTTTGCAAGTGACTTTGCATGGATGTGTCACGTGTCAGTTTGCGCCGCTATTCCATTGTCATTTGCGTGACACGGACATGTCGCGCAAGAAACGTGATGCACTTCGCTGCACAGGCGCAGCGTTTTGTGAGATCCGCAGATTACGGCGCAGTTCCATTGGGATTAGCGTTTGGAGAGTCGTGTTTTTGGGGTGTTGGATGTGGCCGTGCCATTGGGATTTGCGTCTCAGGGTGTGGCATCGAAGCTCTGTTTTCGTGACAAGTCTCAGCTGAAATGGCGATTTTGATGGATGGGAGTGTGCTCTGAACGGGTCGAAATCATTCCAAACGTGTGGTGTGGTGCAAATTGTGTTGAAGCTCACATGCGATGATATTGTCACTTTTCGTGGCAGGTGCAGGACTTCGTGCGGGCTTTGAAGCGTGGAAGTGCAATTCTCGTGGCAGGCGCAGGGAATCGTGAGGTTGCGAGGTGTGAGGGAGGTGACATTTCGTGGCAGGCGCAGTACTTTGTGCGCGTTAGACGTGTGGATGGGGAAAGATTCGTGGCAGGCGCAGGGAATCGTGAGGTTGTGAGTTGCGGTAGAGGATTGGCGTGTGCGCGGATGTTGTTTGGAGGGGCTGGAATCGCGAAACTGCTTGGCAGGGCTGCGTGATGTGTGTGCTCCGATGGGTGTTTCCGCTTGACTTTTGGAGGAAGTCTCGTACGAAACGCTCGTTTTGGAGACTTGACGCGCAACCCTCTGCGGAGATCGTGCGTGTCGAGCGCACCAAATGCAGGCGAGAGTGCGATTTGTCCCATGCGCGCAACGCTCTGCGGAGATCGCGCGTGTCGAGTGCGCGAAATGCAGGCGAGAGTGCGATTTGTCCCATG